CCCCCCCCCCCCCCAACTCACTTAGCACCACCTGATACACCAAAAAACTTGAAACACCAAAATTACCGTTAACTGTGCCTTCAACGCAGCAACAATCATCGATGTGAGGAATATATGTTGACGGTCAGGGATGGCGGCGGCGCCGGGATTTTGAATGCAAAAAGTGATCCCAGTCTTCGAAGATCTGAAAAGAAACAATTGACACTTTCAGTTTTGCTGAAAAAATAAGATCATTTTCTTTGTCACAGTAGATACAGTTTGGAACCTCAAGTTACTGCACTTTTTCAACACAGCGTAACCATGCTTGAACAAGTAATAGGTTATCTTCAGATCGCGTATCCCGCGAGGAAGCAAAAACGCGTGAAAATAGAAAAACGGAGGAAATGAGTGAATGTGCACAAAAACTACTTTACGGGAAAATAGTATAGACGCCAGGCTACGTTGTTGTCACCTCATCGAAACCGGCTGTCGCGCCCTGGGCTTAGCATAATGTCGACTGGAGGATTCAAAGGTTAAGGGGTCCCGATAGACTGCCGATGGAACCCAGAGCGGATTCTGTGCCAAATTCTCACACCCCGCGCATACCCACGCGAGAGTTTTTGATTATTGCCGCGCAGGATAACACAGAAATGAGTGCTTTCAGAGTTCAACGACGTGCATTGCTTCAACCGTCCGACTGATCCACGAGTTCCTAGTCACGTGCTGACAACGCACGACGATTGCGTTCCGGGCCGCGTTAGCGATATCGATCGGTGTCCAGCGTTGTCAACACGTAGCCAGCAACGCCTTCAGTCGCCTTCCTGTTGAAGAAGTGCGTGTCCCACCGATCCTATTCTTAATTTATTTCTATGTTCTGCAATTTACTGATGGATCTAGACATTAACGAGGGGAAACAGATATGTGTCGATTGGGAGCATCAAGAAATTGAAGAGCAATAGAAACGACAAAAAAGATCACAAGTGGGTAGCTAGGAAACACACTCACAGGATTTTGTGGCGAAGGGCGTGTGGACAGGAACTAACTTGTAGCAAATCTCCCCAGGAACCACAAACGCGTCAATTCCTGTTAATCGATTAAATTGACCATTTACGGGACGCCGTGCCCTGCTACACTTATTCGCTTTCCATGAAAGCAACTGTCTGAAAGGGAGATTTCCATGGAATACGAAGTAACTTGTCTTCGTGCATCTTCCCTTCTGGGGTTTTCTCCATTGTTTCTCCTTTTTATACCCGAAAAGGACTCAGTGGACCGGTCATTATATTATTAGGCATTTATGCATGTATTATGTAATCTTCAAGAGTTTCCTGTTTAAGTACATGTCAAATTCTCTTTGCAAATTTCCAAGAAAAATTTGATTCATATTAAAACAGAGAACTAGGGCCCACATCTATTACTATATTACTTTTTAACAATGATATTTCTGAATACACTGAGAACAGCACAAAGCAATCTGAGGCTTTATCAAATGATGACAATCCCTGTAGGATCAACTTAATGGAAACATATACCGGTGGATCCATTGCAAATAATGGCATAATTATTCAAGTGATTCAATCGTTACATACATTCAATTCATACATCTCTGAGCATGAAATCACATATTGTGTTCTTAATAAACAACCCGTTATTTCATCCGAAAGTACAGAATAAGATGATAGATATGAATGACATAAACAACGCAACAAAACAATTATTTAAAGCACTAAAACATGAAAAAAAGCAATTGAATCTAGTCCCTCATGAAAAGTGACATCAGAAAGTGTTCGACTGGATAACGGCATCGAATTGAACGCAGAATCTTCCATGACTCAAGTAGATCTTTAGGCCCAGCATTGTGTACAGGATAGCTGATGACCGTGCCCTTACCGTTGACACATGGTTGTGACGGTTTCTGCAAAAAATATAACGCACAGATGATGCAAAGGCATTGTCATCATACCATAGGGTTACGGTTGGGTGCAGAATACCCTAAAAGTGATAGACTTTTTGATCAACTCCAAAAATAAAACCGATCAACCGTATCGTCATGATAAGGTCAAAGTTGGACTGTCGCAA